CTTCTGCCCTCAGAGGCCCCCCACCCATCCCATCCTGGGCTCCCTCATGAGGGACATTTGCATACCCCTTTCTACAGCAGAAGGGAGTGGATTTTGGTGGGGGAGGTACCAGGGATTGAGCCCAATGGCACTCAACCACTGAGCCACTGAGGTTGCAGTGCCTGGCGAGAAGGTATGAGACTTTACCTTAAAAGGTCTGAGTTCACAGCTCGGATCCACCATGTGCTGGCTGTGTGACTTTTGGTAAATCATTGAACGTCTCTGTTGCCTTAGGTATTGAACGAGGTCCCTATTAAACCTACTCAAAGCATCCAGCTTAGCGCCAGTCCACGTGGTGGCTCAGCAGATGTCAGCAGATGTGCTATGAATCCTCTTGAAGCTTCCCACCCTTCCCTCCCCACACCCAACATCGACTCCTAGGACACCTCCCACGTGACAGTCTTTCCTCTCTTGAGGCCCCATCTGAGTGGCAAAATGACCAGGTAGTGAGGGAGCGGATGCTACAGAAATGCTTAGGGGCCAGCGGGTACCCAGAGTGGCCAGCACCGTCAAGGGGGGGACCGCAGTGCCTGGATGTGGCCAGTCCTTGGCAGCCAGAGTGCAGACCCCTTCTGGGCAGATCTTCTGATTTTTTAAGAGAAAATAGAAACACAAATTTGCAGGGGGAACCACCTACTTCAAAATGTCACCAACAAATTAAACAAGGATTCCAAAACTCACTGTGGGAACCAAGTGAAATAGCTTAAGGGCCCATGTGGCTGGGCTTCTGGCTGCCCACTGCCCGCTAGCACCAGAGCGTGTGGCTGGGACCCAGCTCCCGCCTTTGCTCCCAGTGACCTTGGCTGGGGCGGTCCTTGGTGTCTTCAGGTCCCTCACCTGTCACATGAGCGCAGTAGTAGTGACACATGCATTGAGGACGCCCTAGGAGTCGGGCACCATGCTTGTATGTTCCAGCCTTTTCCATGGGGTTTCAGTGCCGCTGGGACTGTTACCAGCCCAGAGTCCCAGAACCGTGTGTGAACCAGGCAGTGTCCCCAGGGCCATTTCTGATGACCCCGTGTTAGTCTGGCCCGCCGCATTGCCAGGATCAAGGCTGAGGGCGCACACGGGCCCCAGCCCTGCCCTGGCACAGCTAGCGCACAGGACCTGGGCGCCATGGCCGCCGGCCGCGCATGGCCATTCTGCAGCAACTGGACGGCTGGTCCCCACGGCTGGAGGTGCGCTACCTCTTTGGAGCCCCCGCCCCTTTGGGGCCTTCCACGGGGTCTCGGTGATTTCAGCCTCTGGGAAGAGGTGTGGAGGATGCAGGGCCTGCCCAGCGCCCTTGTCCCCCGCCTCTGCCCACCTGTCTGAGCCGCCTGCGGGAGGAAACTGCAAGAGCAGAAGGCACTGTCCCTGCCCAGGGGTCCATCAGAAGTCCAGTCCCACAAGGGGAACAATTAGCAGAAGACCCAGAAGAGCACGTCATTGTGCACGTGGCTGGGGGGCCTGGGGACCCCGACAGTTCACAGAGCCCGGTGGCTGGGTTGACTTCTTTAGGAGCACTCCAGAGGGGAGCCGCTGACACTACCAGCCGCCTCCTCTGCTTCTTATTACCCCAGGCCTGGTGGCCTGAGGGCCATTAACCAGCAGCCTTTGATCCCTGCAGAGCCCTGCGCTCCCCCCATGCGCCCTTCTCCCTCCCGCTCCTGCCCACTGTGCAGACACTCTCCAGGCCCGGCTTTACGAGCTCCCCTGACCCCTCTTGTCTGTCTCTTTGTACAGAAATGGAAGCTCCACTCACGGAGGCGCCGGGAGGCCCCGAAGATGTCCCCAGCATGTAACTGCCCGCCAGGTAAGGAGCCCCGCTGGCGGGTCGGCCGCGCATCCCTGGCACACATGCCGCCCACCACGTCCTTCCGCGGTGGCCAGGCCGCATTGCCACCCAGCTCGGCCCATCTCTTCTTTTGAAAGATGGGAACGACAGTCTCGTGTTGGTGACCTTCCATCCAGCCACCCATGGGCCCACCTGTCCCCCTCCATCTGCTCTCCATCCATCCAGGCGCGCATCCCTTCAGGAGCTCTTCTTCCTGAGCCTCACGCTCTTTGAAGCAGGCTGTGATTAAGCCAGATAAGATGATGGACATGGTCACATTTTGAAAATCATGATATGCAGAACCCAAGGGCAGATGGGCCCCCGAGGGTGAGGACCGACCCCCTTGCCATGTTCTCTAGTGCTCCCGTCATGGGCGTGCACAAACATGTTTGCTGCTGGAACGAATGACTGACTCTGGTGATGAGACGGTGAGCCCTAGTGAGGTGGCTTGGGGTGGTCCGTGTCCCCTGTGGGGCTGCCGGCGCACCCACAGGGGATAGAGATGCGGCTGAGTGTTGCCAGGTCAGGTTGTGCAGAAATTTAACCTCATCCAATTGGGATTCGAACTCTGCTTTTGCCTGTTACTAGTGTGGCATGAGCAGGGTCCTCACAGGGGATGCCCACGGCGCTCGGTGCAGTAAGGCCCCCTCCACACTCCATCTTCCCATGTGCTTAAAGCTGTGTGCCGAGGGTCTGCTCTGGGCTGGGCACCACGCTGGGTGCTGGGTTCAACTGCATTGTCCAGTGGTTAATAGCCCTGATGAGTGACAGTTCATGAGAACTTCTCCAGAATCCTGACCGTGTGTGTTGAGCTACGAGAATGGCAGATGAATAGGTCACGCTGTTCCCTTGAGTAACTGAAGTGGGCTGTACCCCTTTGGGAGAGGGAAGGAAGCCTTTAAAAAGGTGGAGGGAGCCAGGCACACGCCTGCAATCCCAGCGGCTTGGGAGGCTGAGGCAGGGGGATCCTGAGTTCAAAGCCAGCCTCAGTGACACTAAGTAACTCAGCAGGATTCCGTCTCTAAGTAAAATACACAATAGGGCTGGGGATGCGGCTCAGTGGTCGAGTGCCCCTGAGTTCAATCCCTGGTACAACCCCCCAAAAGAAAAAGGTTGGGGGAGTCCAGATGATACATTTAAGTGATTTCAGGGAGTGTTGCCCTGCTCGGGGTCTCTGTCAGCCCGGAGTGTGGTTTCCTTGGCACCTGTGGGGTATGTGGCCTTGGAAGGGGACTTCTGGGCTCTCTGGCCCCAGGAGCTGGGGCTGTAGAAACCTTCACACAGGCCCTCAATCCAGGGAAGAGAGGCTGACAGATGTGAGGCATATGGGACGTGGAGAGGCCACACTGGCTGGGAGTGAGTCCGCCGGCTGGAAGTCACCAGGAGGCAGGCTGTCCTGAGACCGTGAAGGGATGCAGCTGGCCCCAGGCAGGGGGTCATGTGGGTTAATTAAAAGGGTGTCCAGAAGCCTTGGGAAGCTCCCTCACTCCCTCTGGGGCTGGGGACTGGGGTCTGGGAACACTTCCTGGAGAGCAACTTAAGGTGAACAAGATGAGGTGCAGACGCCACCAGGGCAGCAGGCTTCGTGCGCTTCCAAGCGTCTCACATTTCAAATAATGGTGTCTGTTGCTCCGTTAACTCTTGAGCAATTGCAACTGATTTTTGCTCAAAGTGTAGAGTGCTGATTAAGGGCAGGAGATTTGGAGTCATGAAAGATCCAGGTTTGAATTCCATCTCTGAGATTTGCCAGCTGAGTGCACTTTAAAGAGCTTCTTGACACCCCCCCCACCCGTGCCTCAAGTAGACTTGAATGAAAAAAAGAGGGATAACAGTCACCTTGGAAATATGTGTTAGAGACATGATGGGGAATCAGCTGGACGTCAACGCCTCTCTGATCCGTATGGAGCACTGTTATTGCTCTTATTTCCCCCAGGCCCCTTAGACTTGAAGATGCACAGAAATCTGCACCAGACTCCATATCCTAGGGTTCCAGCTATGTAGGCTGCACCCTTACGGCCAGGCGGAGGTTGTTCCCACCCCCTCCGTGCATTTCCCAGAGGGCAGTTTGGCCCACTGTATGATCAGAGTCCAGTGGGATTTTAAAGAAAAGGCCCATGAGGAGGCAGAATCAAAGGGGGGCTAAGGGGCTCCCCAGCTTTCTGGAAAGTCAGGCCAAGGACTAGAAAGGTTGCACAAGGGCATGTGACCCTTTGGAATCACAGAGCACAGATGCCAGGGTGGGCTAGGTCCTGGTGGACCCCTGGACCTGCCCCCCGCAGGCCTGCAGTAAAGGACCCTCCTCCACATGAAAACCAACCCTCTGTACATCACAGCAGCTCTGTTGCTGTTCCCTAACTGAGCACCTACTATGTGCCAAGCACAGTACTGAGTGCTTCCTATTGACGGGTGACCCTCCTCAAAACCCTTACATGCTAACATCCTAAAACGCTTGAAAATGCTCAGTGTCTGAGTGGACCCCACTCTCCTTGTAGTAGCCTCATGGATCTCTCTCACTAGTGACATCGGATCAGAGTTTTACTGCTTTACCGCTCCTGGTGCTTGCAGATGGGCTCGATGCCATTGGGAAGTGCCGCGTGGGAACACAAAGTCTCACCAGCACTCAGTCTTGTTCCTGGTGTACAGATGCTCTGAATGTTTAGTCCGACCAATAATCGCTGCTGATGACTGGATCCTCCTTGTGGTCTCCAGCTGTTATCTGGCCTCACATGCCTTCTTCCCTCCACGCCCCCGAAAGCTAAAATCACCAGCATGGGGACCAACCAAAGAAACAAAAAGTTCCCCCTGCCCACCCTGGCCGCTGGGATGCAGTCTGCAGCTCCAGCCCTGGCCTGTTTGTCTGTGTGGCCAGCCATGCAGAGGCCGGAGCCCTGCGGTGGGTGTGTTCTTCCTTGTGGCAGCCCTGGGACCCTGGGTAGCATCCAGAGGCTTGGGGACACATAATCGTGGGCAGAAAACCTGCCTCCTTCCCCTCCTATCCTGACCCGGCCAGCATCCTCTCGGGAGCCTCCCTGTCCCAAAATAGCCCTCTCCTGGCTGAGAGCTGGCTTCGTCCTGTCCCGGGCCACAGGCGCTGCCTGCCAGGGAAGCCATGGGCCAGCAGGCCGGCGACGGGATGCCAAAGGTCACGCCCCATGAGGAGGGTCACAGTGTCCAGAAGTTCCGAGGAATAGAGGAATAGGTGTGGGCCGTGTACAAAGCCCGGTGAGGCCGGCGAAGCGGCTTGGGAACAGATGTCCACACCGTGGGACTTCCTGGGCCTCTTGAGACAAATACAAAGATGGGGAAAGTTCGCCCATTCTCTGTCGCTGCTCTTATTAACAAGGGAGGAGCGGGACAATACAGGTTCCAGCTGGAAAGGAAGCAGCTCCTTCAAGTCCGCCACGCTGGGGCTGGGTGGGCCTCCTCACCACGTCCAGGCCGGGCTGGCAGCAGGGATGGTCACTTTGCAGCCTGGGCCCCAGCTCTAAGGGGTGGAGCAGGACAGGGTCGCACCTTGGCTGCCAAGTAAGGGGCGCGGGCTGCAGCAGCGGGACCAGGGCATGGTGGGGTGGCTCCATGTGTCAGCGCCATACCCAGATGGAGGGGCGAGAAGGCGCCTGTGGCCCGGCTTCTGGGAGCAGCCAGCGCCCTTCCCTGGCTCAGATGTGCTGGGGGGAGGAGCAGAGGAAGAGCCGGAGACCCCATGGGTTTGGGGGCTCTAGCAAGACTCCGCTGGAGAGACGGCCCTGAGGTTGGTCCTGAGGAACCAGGAAGCAGTTGGCAGGGTCTAGACAGGGTGTAGACTCAGCTGTCACCGTGTAAACGTCCCCAGAGATGGGGATTTCAACAAAGCAAAGGTAGAGGTGTCCCTTCCTTAGCAGGAGCATGGTCCTGGCCTGGGGGTGACTCCACTCTCTGCATCTTGCGGCTTCCATCTCTGGGCTCTGACAGCTCTTTTGTTCCTGCCGTGCCCTGGCCAGCACAAGAGGAGACAGGATTGGGGCCTGCATCTCCACCCTCAGGAGCAGACCTTGAAGAGCAGACATTTCACTTCTGCTCACATCACTGGCCAGAACCTAGTCACCTGGTACCTACCCAGGACCGTGGGAGGCAGATGATATTTTGGCTGGGTAACCAAGGCAGATAGAACTTTGTTGCTATGGAAGGTGGGGGAACAGAGTAAGAGCAAGGCGGATATGTTTGGGGATGACCAAGCAGGTTGAAAGGTTCCGAGCACAGGCAGGGATGGGGAACAGATGGGCGGACATGAGGGTGGAAAGAGATGTCGAGATTGCAGAGACCTAGGCTGAGGAGTTTGGCTCTCTCTGTTCAATGAGAGGCAAATGGTTTTCATGCCAAGGATGGTTGATTGGTAATGGCTGCCAGGGAGGTTGTGCCAAGTCAGCAGAAAATGGGTGATCATTTAATAATGTCTGCCAGGGGTGCAGTATCGGGAGCAGTAGTGCCTGCCTTCTGGAAGTGTTCTCCTCACAGGACATAATGGAGCATTAGGGAAGGTTGAAGAGCAGGGATGTGACCCAGTCCAGTTTGCACTCCAGAACAAAAGCTAGCAGTGACGTGGAGCATGCCTCCAAGCAACGAGAGCCTGGGATCCGGTGGACAGGACTGTGTTTTCTCATGAACTTCTATTTATGTCCAGGTTGGAACAGCCTCCTCAGCCCTGGGTATTTTCCATAGGTGGTGAGAGATGCACCCCCAACACCCCAAACCCTCTTCTTAAGCCAGCTTTGCCTTATTTTTCCTGGCACCAGATTTTGCCCCCCGCAGCCTCATGCCATTTACATGGGCAGAGCCTGCGGCCAGGGCCTGCGACCTAAACTGGGCTCCTCTGAGTTCCCTTTGCTGCGGCAGAGCAGGCCCACGGCCACACACCCTTCCTTTGTGGTTGTCCTTGTTCCAGACCCAGCTGACTCAGAAAAGGGACACCTCAGACCAAAATATTCCTTGGTGCCATTAAC